TCCCAACCAATATCTTTTCAAAATCGATTCAGAATTGCGAGCTAACACGTGGACGAACAGTTTTTCACTTTTCTGCGATTTATAAAGAAACGTCTCGGCCGATCATTCCACAAAACTGACAAACGATAGTCTTCGTCGAGATACATCGAATGGTTTTTAAATTTTTTAAATCGGTCCAGCCGTTTTTGAGAAAACGTCCATTTACGGCAAAAAATCTGTTCACATACACGCACACGCACACACACACACATACTTTTTCCAAATTCGGTCTCATTCGATTCAGAATGGCTTGAAACGTCGAGAAAACATAAAATTAGCGAATCGGAATTTTTTTATAAAAACATAAACTTCTCCTTCGGGAAGTTAATAACTGAATATAATTATTATGACTTTTACCTCAAACATGATAATTGGAGTTCAGGCGTTACATATTCCAGCAATTCCTTTGCGGTGCCGGCAGTGCTGGTGCATAAGGAACCCCTGAGCGCCCTCGGATCGGCGGTTCGTACAATCAACCGCCAACGATTTCCTTCTTTTCTTGCCGAAACCGCCACTGGACCGAGCTGCTCGTCCGTTCCAAAATAGTTTTGATGTTCTGCAAACACAAAAAAACATTAAACTCATTGAACAAGAATTCATCTGGATAGAAAATTAAGCTGGTCAACGCACATCAAAATGAAATGAAAACAGTTGGAGAAAAAGTTCAAAGAGTTGTATGGCTAACTGGCAGGAATTCAAATATGTGTTATGTAAAACAACTAGCAAACCCGACGAACTCCGTTTCGCCACCAGATGGTTTCGTGAAAAAGATGAAGAAATTTTTTGTTTGTTTTATATTTGAAAGGAAAAATTTGATTCTATTATACAACAGTAATGAATTTATGTCGATTACAAAAATGAAGTGCTTTTTAGTTGAACTCCTCTAAGTAAATGAAAGTGAATCCGCAAATTATCCGTTTCATTGAAGTGCTCTTTGGTAAATCACATTTTTTGTTTTTTGGTCTGAGGTTAACACAAACAAAGCGAATGGTTTTCCATCTCGTGAACAGGCAACGTATAACTGCCCAAGTGAAAAACAATGATTTTCTAAATAATCTATTTGAAATTTATCCCGCAAACACTAAGCGATTGGCCTTGCGACTTGTTATTGCGAACGCAAGGCAAACTGGAAATTGCAATCATTTGAAGTCAAACGGAAGACTCGTCGGAATCATTGGTATTTCACCAAATCGCCTGCAATTTTTGATTGAATGGTGAAATTCAGTGCGTGTACATCATTAATCTTTGCGGCAAGAATTGCTCGTTGACTTAATTGCAAGCATAATTCTGCTAATTCTCACTAATGTCATTATTACTCGAATTTTGAATTACGATGCGTGAAGTTCCAGCAATTTGCATTAAGGCACGATGCCATGCACTAATTTTCTTAGCTATAAACCTTGCGGAGCCCGAGACATTTCCAACGAATGCAAAATTGTCGAAATCGGTTCGTTCGTTCTGGGGTTATATCGTCAGGAAGGAAAACCCGACTTATTTTTATATATATTGTAGATAATTATCCCAATCTGGACTCAAAGCAATTTCAAATATAAAAATAATACAAAGAGCGCAATCGAAAATTTTAAGATGGATTATGAACGCACCCTGGTGGTCTATTACAAATGACACTCTACATACAGACATAAAAATTAAAACTATTAATGTAATGATGAAAGAAAGGAG